CGCACATTCATCCTGCGAATACCTGCTCACAGTTAGTCACAATTCTTTTTAAAATAAGATTATCCAGTAACACACTTTTTTCACTGAATATCTGACTATTTTCACATCAGTCATTAACCTTAAGATTATTACCCTCCCAGACCCCTCATCCACACAGACCTCAGGAGCCCCTGTTTCCGACGCATAAACTCTGTCCTCTAGAAACTGAAATCTTCTCCCTTGGGATCCTGACCCCTGCTATTCTCCCGCTTCCTGGTTCTGAGTCCGCCTTCCGGCACCCCCTTACTCCCATGGGGTGTGGGGGAGGCATCCGCCCCCTTACCCGCCACACACACACACACACACAGGGCCCAGTCCTGCCTCTTCCCCCGAACCTGGATGGCTCCATCCTCCTTTTCTTCACTGCTTTGGGTAAACTTCACACCCACTTCTTTTGAGTCCAAGTTGCACGTCACTGTTTAACAGGATACATAGCATCAATGGAATTTTCTGAACAGAACTCCGTTTCCAGGCATGGGAATAGTAACTGCCAGGATGGTATTTCATTTCCTCTGTCCACAGACTCATCTACCATGCTCCCGACTTTCTTAATCCTGGAAAAAGGCGTGGGATTAACTGATTTTGGACAGTAAAAATTGCCTGAGCTGCATTCGAAGTGAAACAAGCATTTTTCTTTTATTCATTCAAAATTACATTTTATAAAGGCGCTTAGAAAGGAAACTCTCAGCTCAGGGGCGAAGGCAGGCCTTTTTGAGGCCGAAGAGCGCCTGCAATCAAGGGCCAGCAACAGCTAAGCGGTCCCTTTGCAGGGCGGCGCGCAGCCCGCTGAGCCACACCAGCCAGGGCGACAATGCGCATTTCAAAAGTGTAAGTAGAATTATGAGTGATAAAGTTATACTAGGACGTATCAGACTCTTAGGGATTTCATACACTTTCTGGAACACTTATACTAATAACACGTTTTTTAATTGGGTTGGCCAAAAAGTGCGTTTGTTTTCTTCTTCACGATTGCTCTAGAAGCGCTTAGTTGTCTTTAACTTTATTCGAAATGATTTTGTTAGAGTGCATTGTGACAGCTGTCGTATCAGCGTGCATTTTGAGAAAACATCAAAATTGGTGAATTCTTGTGCAGCCATTATAATATTGATGCAAGAAAATATGCAACGTCTTTGGAGTGTTATTATGCTTTATTAACTTTTAAATATTTATTTCCTTTTAGAGAGAGGGGAAAGGAGGGAGAGAGGGAGGGAAACAGTGATGTGTGAGAGAAACGTCACACTGTAACACTGTATCATCAATGTAATGCACTCGTTTTACTGATGTGATGTAACAAATAGATAGGAGTTGGTCAGGTGGAAACGGGGAGTGGAATTTTCCAGAGGGAGGGGATAATCTATGTAAAGTCTTGAAGTCAGGGGGAGTGTGATGCACATGAGAAGCAGACTTCTATTCTGGCCTCAACATCACGCCATGAATTTTATTTTTTGTTGTTCTCTGTAAATATTTTGAAGGTAAGGGCCCTCACCAACTCTATCAGAACCCCGACAGCTCAGGACAGCATCCGACATGTCAATATTCAAGAAATATCTATGTATGTATAAAGCAAGGGCACCCACTCTATGCCAGGCCTTGAACTAGAACCTCTATTGGCTTTTTGTAAAACGCAGACTTTTTCAAAAAGTATAGAAATGAAAATACACTTATTTCTTGTCATTGGTAAGAAATTCAGAGAATCGTATTTACCATTTAAGTAAAAAGGAGCGGGGAAACAACTAGCCAGTGTTGTTTTTGAAATTCTTGAACAGTCACTGTGTCCGCTGCTATGTCCATGCATTCACCCGTTTAAAAATGAATCAATCGAAGTCGTGAAGTCTATCCCACTTATACGCCAGAATCTCTCTTTGTGTTTGCACATGTGTACGCCTGGATGTGCATAACATACGCATTGAACTTCATAAACACACACATGCAAAGTAAACACCAGATACATATACTCACCCATGTGTACTCATAAAAGTGGCATGACCCCTCCCCCCTTAACCCCCCACCCTCCTCCATTTGTGCCTCATCCCACTCCTTGCTTCAAGGCCTTACGACCCCCTTCTCTAGCCATCCATTCAGATGTCACCACCACTCCTCTGGAACCACAAGTCATGCTTGGAGGCCGGGTTATTTTGTGTTTCTTGTCAGTCTCAGCCTATCAGTAACCGGTATTGTGGTTGCACTGGCCCTAGTGGTCCTTATGACTGGAAGATGCCCTCAGCAAAAACCACCAGGAAACGAAGATCCAGGGTCTTACTTACAAGATCTGGAAATGACACAGCATACCTGAGGCCACACAGAGAAGAGAGAGTGGCGGTGGGGCGGGGGGCGGCTAGACGGGGGGAGGAAGACAGTGCACTGGGTAGGGCTTGGGGTTCTGTTTTTACTGGAGTCAAGGAGAGTGGGGCAAGGGTTTCTCTGGCTCACTTTTACTGGTGAATTTAAAGCATAAGAGCATGAATTTAAAGAGCAAGGAAAGAGTAAACATTTATTAGACCAAGTGATGAGTTATTGAAATCAACCACGGTTTCTAAAACATAGGAGATTTCGGTGGAGGGGGCATGCCTGGCTCTTTATCTAGTCCTGTGGGTGGCCCTGTGTTTATTGGAGAGAGTCATCTTGGAAATGGGTGCCTCTTGGACAAGGGCAATGAAAGCTTAAGCCAGGCCCTTGTGTTACAGAACAGAAAAAACAAAAACAAAAACAAAACAAAAACAAAAAAACAACTGTCCTGGCTCACACTGCTGTCTCCCTGTGAGTTTGAAGTAGCTGCTCGGTATTTGACATTTACTCTGCTATTTGAGTTGGCATTCTTGATCCCGTCAGTGTAATCCTGAATGACATCTATACCTTTCACCAGCAGGGGCCTTTAGGAACAGAGACAAAGACCATTTAACCACAGCTAGGAGGTAAGTGGCCAGAATCAGGAAAGGCTCCTCTCAGAGGAAGCGATAATCAAGCAGACACTACGCTCCCCATTTTACAGCAAAGGAGACTGAGGGTCAGAGGGGTTATGTAACTTGCTCAAGGTCAGACAGGCAGACAGAGATCGGGCCGGTTTTCAACCCCAGGTTTGCCTGGCCCCGGTGCAAATGCACTGTGCATTACTCATAGCTCACTCCTATGACAGTATCGCCTGTTTTGATTCCCAGGTACCAGTTTCACGTTCTGGGATTCTGCATCCTTCAATTTTTTTAAAAAAACAATTCTGCTATATGCAGCATTAGAAGAAGCTACTTAGTTTGTGAGGTCCAATATCACTGAAAATAAATGATCGATAGGACAGTATTTTCCTCCATTTCCCTTCCAAGGCGCCAGCTGTATTACTGGTTATCTTATTTTAATCCTTCAAGTATAACACAGAATTAACACAATTTGTTCAGCCTAACACGTGCCAGTCATTTTAATCCTTATCATAACCTAGGAAACATGCACTGTTATTGTGCCTAATGGGAAAAAGGAGAAAACCTAGGATTCCAGAAGCATTAACTTGCCCGGGAACGAACAGCTGAGTCAATAGGAAAACCAGAATTCGGAATCCAGTACCAAGCCATGCTAGCAACGAGATCTCAAATCACAAAGTGGCTCTGAGCCTCAACTTCAGCATCCGTAAACTGGGAATAAATGTAGGCCCTCTGAACTGAGGCTGTGCAACTTGCTGCAATAAGAAAGATCTAAATGCTTGTCTAGTATTTGGACAACTTTGGAATTATTCAAAGAGAAGTAAGTACTAGCTTTTAAAAATAAATGTTCCCAGAAATATTTCCTTTCTTACGAACATTTTTAATGACAGTCCCAATATGTTCTTGGTCTCTTTCCAGAGTTTAAATTTTTCTCCATTTTAGTCTGTTAGAACAGATGATGACTCTCTGTGTGTTCTTTTGAGAGCTACCAAGGGGTGACTATAGCACTGTTTATCGTGAGACATTGGGGAAATGCCCAAGACGAGGTAGCACAATGCCAAGGAGTAAGGATACTAGGTGACGCAGATTCTGGGAAGATGGGGGCAGTGGAGGCTGCCCAGTTTTTGTATCTGACCAAACACCCACAGGTAAAGCAAACAATTAGATAGCAAAAACCGAAACAAAGTAAATATGCAGCACTTACAAGGAATTGGGATCGCAACTTATCCCCCAAATCCCCAAATTAAGTGGATAGGGACAAACCACACGCCCTTTTACCTCAGTCAAAAACCATAACACATGAAGAGAATAAAGCCAGAATCTTAATTTTATTCCTCAAGAATTCATTGTAAAAGAGGCAACCTGGAAAGGGGGAATCTCAACTCAGGGGCAAAGGCAGGCTCTTTTGAGGGAGAAGAGGGCCTGGAATCAAGGGCCAACAGCAGGTAGGTGGCTAGGCGGTGGAGCCTTGGGGAGGAGGAGGCTTCAAATCTCATGACTTCGGTTGCTGGCTACCAGAACTCTTGCAAACCTCACAGGTAACCGCAGAGCAGGCAGCCCATTCAGCGCAGCGGGAGGAGGTCGATTCCTCTCGGGTCTTAAGAGCATGCAAATGGAGGGTCAAGGCTCAGGACCAGTAGGGGGGTAAGGGAAGCTCTCCATTTCATTCTGCTCTCCTGGAGAGGCAGGGCTCAGAGCATCAAACTCCAGCAGCAAGGCTCTTCTAAGGCTATCAGGGCTAGGAGTGGAGATGGAGGCCAGCCCACCAAAATTGGGGGAAGAGGAGGAGGAGCTGTGACCAGAAACATTAGTGGGGGGGAGAGGAGGGGCCCTGGCCAGGAAACCCATTGGCGGAGGGGCAGGGGAAGGGGGGGCGACGGGGAGGGGCAGGAGGAAGAGGAGGAGGAGGAGGAGGAGGAACTCTCAGCAAACCACCCAGGGAAAGGATAGAGCCGACCAGGAGGTGAGGGTGAGGAGGCACGCATGCGGACTGCGCGCCAACGCGGCTGGGAAGGCAGGCTTGGGGCCTCAGGATCGGGAGAGCCTGAGCTGCTCTGGAAGACAAGCCTTCGTAAGGGGAGCCCCGGGGAAGGAGGCCTCTGGCCAGCAGGCGCAGGGAGAGAGGGGCGGCTGCTAGCGGTCGACCTTCTCTGGGTGGGGCGGCTCCGGGGGACAAAGCCTGCGGTCGTGCCGCTGCGAGGGAGGGCAGGGTTTGCCCCGGATGCTCTGCTTCTGAGAGCAGGGCCTAGTCCAGATGCGCGGCTACGGGAAGCCGGGCTGGGCGCTGTAGCAGAGCATCCGAGACCACCTCCGGGCCTGGAAGCGCGGCGGCAGCGGCGGCGAGCAGGACCTGACGTGGACGCACTGCGGCGACGGCGAGCAGGACCTGACGTGGACGCACTGCGGCGACGGCGAGCAGGACCTGGTGCGGATCCACGGCGGCGAAGAGCGGTACCCGACCCGGATGCGTGGTTCGGGACGGCGCGACGTGGCGGCGCGGGTGCACGGCGGCAGCTGGGTGCGGGGCCTGGCGCAGATGCAGCCGCACTCCGGGGGCGGGATGCAGCGCCTGGCGCAGATGCAGCCGCACTCCGGGGGCGGGATGCAGCGCCTGGCGCAGATGCGCAGCGGCGGACAGCAGGTCCTTGCGGGGGTGCGCAGAAGCGGCAGGCAGCGGGGCCGCGCAGAGTGGCGCGGCTTCGCAGGGCAGGGCCTGGCGGTGGGGTGGTGTGGCTTCGGAGGTCCGGGCCTGGCTGGGACGCGAGACTCCACGGAGAAGCTCGAGGTGCACGGCGGCGGCTGCTGGGCTGAGCCCTGGGAGAGGATGGCGGCAAAGGCACGGGCCTCTGAGGCGCGGGTGCATCTGGAAACAGACAGCGCCTTGGGACCTTCTGAGCCTGGGCAGACTTCTTGCGGCTGCGCGGTTTCCGCCCACGGCCGCTCGCTGGGCCCGTCGTGTGGGCCGGACGCCGGCTGGCCTGGACAGCGCCCCTCCTGGCCTGCCGTGCGGCGGCCGCGCTGCCCGCATGTGCGGTGTGGAGGCCTTGGCCCGTCTCGGGCCCCACGCGGCTCAGCTGTGTGTGGGGACTCGGACCGCCCTGGAGCTCAGGACGCCCGCTTTCCCCCACGCAGGACATGGAGGGCGGCCCCGGCTCCTCCGCAGCGCTGGAAACGGCACCGGCGTCCGCCCTGACGCAGGAGGAGGCACCTGCTGTGCCACCGCACGGGGCGTCCCCACCAGATGGAGACCGGTCGCCCGAGACTGTGGGCACCGAGGGGCCAGCGTCGCCGTTGCCGGTCTCCCGGGCGTTGCCAGGAGTAGGGAAGACTTCGTTCTTTGGCCCTGAGGGCACCTCGCCCCGCTGTTGCTTCTGCCCCTTCTCCAAGCACGACTGGGTGGCCATGGCTCCAAGTTCTCCCTCCGAGACCGGAGAGCGAGGACGCAGCCGCTGCCTGTCCTAGAGCCTGAGCTAGAACAGTGAGGGGGCTGGGCGGCCAGTAGTAGTCTCTGCTCGGGATTGGTCAGCTGGAGTCCCGTGACCCCCGGCCTCTCCGCACTGGGCAACCTAGCCCCAGGTAGCTCAGAACCGAACTAGGCGCTCCACGCCCCCTGGAGTCCGCTGGACGAATCAGTGCAGCGAATTCCCGGCTTTTCCCCGGGCCCCGCAGTGGGTGTGTTCTGAGGGAGGCGGCGGGGACGAAGAGGCCGTCCATACAAACAATTCCAGTCTCCCCGAATCAGCTTAGCTTGTCAGCACCAGCGTGGTGGTTCCACGTCAAGCGGTGCCATTTCCACCGCGGCGGAGGAGCCGGGGCCGCCCTCCATGCCCTGTGTCGGGGAGAGCGGGCGTCCTGAGCTCCAGGGCGGTCCGAGCCCCCACACACAGCTTGAAAGAAATACCACCCTCGGCAACAGGAGACCATCCCTGAGCTAGGTATCCCTCCTGGAATCTGGTCAGGACACTGGGTGCCCCTGTGACCCAGAGGGGTCGGTCCCAGAACCCCTCTTGATACCCGGAGGACCCGACAGGAGGGTCCGTTTGGAGAGCAGCCAGAAGCCAAGAAAAGGGGTGGGACCCTCACTGTCTTGCCTCCGGATGTTCAGCACTGCAACCAGGCACTGGCATGGTGCGAGGCGGGGGCGTGTGGCTGAGCTTTCCAGTCAGATCCTTACCCAGCCTTATGTCCCAGATTGCATGGGATTCCGGGGGGATACCGTCTTTAAATATGCATCGTCATTTGTATGGGCTGCATAGTAATCTGGTGAATACACATCCACTTATTTGGCCTACGCTCGTTTCTGTTAGTGAAAGTATGCGGTGGTGCACAGGTTTGACCTTCAGTATTTGGACACCGATTTTTAAACAAGTACAAAAGGGCTGTCTGTTCAGTGCCCCAAACATTAAAACAAGCGTAGGAAACCTAGTACCTTAATTCTCACATACCCACTGGTAAATACTGGAAATATTTTCTTCTTCTTCTTCTTCTTATTTTTTTTTTTTTTTTTTTTTTTTTGCAGAATGGCCATCCATAAATCATTAGTAGGTCTGTTGTTTTATACAAATAGGATTATTTATGTATACATAGGGTTTTGTAACCGGCATTTGGGGTCCGGAAAGCACACTTTCCATGTCATTAAATGAATACCCACGAGATCATCGTGTAACTACAAAACATTCCTCTTAAGGAAGAAGGTTACATTTTCAAACATTGTCCTATGGACCAACGTTTATATTGTTTCCAACTTTTCACTCTGTATAACACATCAATGTGAAACATACCCCTTTTCTTAAAAAAAAAAAAAATTGCTCATATCCTCAAATGCGACCTTGTTGTGGATCAATTCCCTCGTTACAGGAAATCCTTGTTATATCTGTAATTTTCGATAAAAATATTGGTACATAGTTCTTCTGAAAGTTGCCGTTGTAGCGTTTTTGGCAGAATGGAATGGGTTACTTGCTGGAGTGGATGACCAACTGTACCGGAACATAACTCTAATATAGAATGAACGGTACTTGGAGTGGTAAATACCATGCAGTCGATAGTGGGTTTGAAATGGGATGCAGAAAGGAATGAAATGGAGAGTGACTGCAGTGGAACAGTGAAACAAGGAGTGGAATATGGACTTGAACAGGATACGGAACTGAAAACTGAATGGGATGATAATATGGAGTGCGAAATGGAACTATCCAGTGGCATCGGGAATGAAAGAAAACCATAATGTCACATGCAGGAAGGAATGAAATGGAGTGCAGTGTGAAATTAAATGTTACAGAAGACAGAAGGAAATGGAAATTACGATAGGAACGTAGAGTATGCAGTGGCCTGCAATAAGTGGACTGTGAAATATGCACTGTAAATAAAAAAATCAAATAATGGAATAAAGTTTGGAATGAAATAAAGAGCGCAAGGTTATAAAAGATGGAACAGGCATCGAATAAAAATAGAATGCGCAAATTGAAATACTGATGAAGTGCAGGATGAGACTTAAATGAAGAATAAATGAATAGAATGTGTTCTGGTCATCCACCATCCCCTAGTAGAGTATTGTGGAACGACGTCCATTTTATTATGTTCGTGGAGTTTGTGGATTTCCACAGGGTAGAAGAGGAGTGGCTTGTCCCTGCTCCACGATGGCTGGGGCCTCAGCTGGGAAAACTTGAATGGCTGTAATGTCATGAGGGAAAGAGAACAATCAGCGAAGACTCCTAGATTTTGGCCGTGGCATCTGGGTGAATGGCGGTGCCACTTCCTGGAGCAGGGTAGCCTTGCAGGTTGGGACACAGCAGGGATCAGTCACTAGTCCTGACTATGTTGGTCACTATACCCTCTATAGTTGTCCTAGTCATTTAGAGGTACAAACCCCAACTTACAGCCATGCTCTTAATCCTACAGGTCAACTTTCAGCAGTTTCATGGATCCAGTTTTCCCCTTGGAAGTCACTTCAGTTTGCTCTTTCAGAGCTTGTCTTTCCTCCTTTCCGGAATCTCTGGGCCTTAGTCATGATCCATGACCTTTGACCTAGTAATAGCTAAAATGCCCCCAGCTATCCTTGCTCTCTTAGGTATACGCGCGCGCTGTGTGTGTGTGTGTGTGTGTGTGTGTGTGTGTATCTCCCCCACTTAGTGATTTGGTCTCTTCTGTGATCGCAAACTTTATGCTAAGAAAATCCCTCTCTAACCCTATTGCCATGCCTTCAGTGCTCTCTCCTTTTTCTTTTCCAGTGCTCCTTTTTAAGAGATAGCGTGTATATGTGTATATGCTCAGAGAAAAAGAGCCGGGAGGGCAAGTTTTCTCATACTTTATATTTTTAATGTTTTCAACAAGGACACATGACTCTTGTACCAAAAAAAAAAAAAAAAAACCCAACCCAGTTATTTGCATTTTAAAACAATTTTAATGTTCTATAGGTTGTAAACAAACAAACAAACACCCCAGCCTATCTTATATACTACTGGATGGGGATGTAAATTCCCAGGATTGTTTCCGGATGAAAAGTTGACGATGCATATAAAAAGTCAGAAACATTCCATTTGATGCTGCAGTTTCTCTTCTAGGCATTAAATATAAAGAAATTCATACATTTACAATGTGATATGCTCGAAGGTGATTATCATAGTGTTATTTATTTTAAATAATCTGAAATAACCTCAATTTCCATTAGGATATTGGCGTCCATGGAATAAACTTCTGCAGCTTTTACAGGATGTTTTCAGGGATAGAGTTAACCGAAAAAGAAAATGTCTATGATATTATACAAGAAAACAGATGATGTACACCACTCGTCTATATTTCCATGTACCTATTTATTTTTGCATCTATCTAGCTTTCTACATATATTAGAATTGCATTCACTATAGTCCAGTGTTTCTCAACCAGGGCCGCTTTGCCTCCGGCGTGGGGTTTGGTGGGCCTGGAAATGTCCGGAGGCTCTCACAACTGGAGAGTTAAAGGTGCAACTGGCATCTGATATGCAGACATCAGGGATGCTCTCAGACCCTTCAATGCGCAAGAGAGCCTCTGGCGACACAGAATTCTCTGACCCCAAATGCCTATAGTGTCGAGTCTGACAATCCCTGCTCTCTCTAGAGCATTTTGATGATTCAGAATCGTTTACGACAAAATTTAAATGACAGTCCCATCGGTGATTGATAACTATTGTGAAAAGTTTGATGTGTGTAAAGGTTAAATTTTCTATGACAGTTTTGTGCTTCATAAACAGCAGAAGTGTGTTTTTGAAACGAACTAATTCCTTTTAAAATGACATTCCTTCTCGAGCTGCGAATATTTTTCACACACGGAATGTACTAGTCATTGCTTACAAAACTATATAACTTAAGAATTGTAATTGCAACCCATGTACATGGAGGAATGTTCCATAAATAGGAATCCATAAGCCCTTAATTTTCAACCTTTGCTCAAAGCATTGATTTTTAAATATGTGTATATTTATTTGAAATAAAGAAAAATTGTGGTGTCATAGTGCAATGTTTCTGATATAAAGGGCAACATGTTTGACAAACCAGGCCACAGTAATCTCATTACCACTCCAGTGACCGGTCTGCGAGTGGACACTTGCCAGTTTTAGTTAATAAGATATAAATGTAAGTCAATTTGGGGTCTTTGGGGAGAGGTTTCTCGGCTTCACAAAAAGTGAAAGAGATGCAGGCACAAGAAGGTGTTTACATAAAATAACTTAAAGAATGTATCTATTGGACAGCTTCCAAGATGGCATCAGAGGAGGCGGGTCTTACACTCACCTTACTTCCGGGACCAAGCTGGAACTACAGCTGACTTACAAAACAATCGCCATGAATAACCGACTAAAGACTAGCTGAAGAGGAGTCTTATAACCAGGGATTTACAAAAGAAGCCACGTTGAGACTGCACCTGCACAGAGGCTGGCACACCGTGGTCAGGGTTGAGCCTCACACTCAGCCAGCCTGATGGTTGATCCCAGGCATGAACGGCCCAACACCAATGGAGACTCTGTTACAGCAGAAGGGCCCACGTAACCCACACAAGGAGACCGCACCACTGGCTACCCCAGGACACCTACTATATAAGGCCACCCCCACAAACACTGGGAGTCACAGCAGATCTATCTAATACATAGAAACAAACACAAAGAGGCGGTGATGATGGGGAGACAAAGAAAGAGGCCCCAAATAATAGAACAGGAGGAATCGTCAGAAAAAGAGCCAAGTGGAATGGAGGCAGGCAATGTATTAGATATAGAGTTGAAAGCAATTGTTACAAGGATGCTCAAGGAACTTAGCGAGAGCTACAACGGCATGAAAAAAGACACAGAAACCATGGAAAAGAACCAGTCGGAAATGAAGAATACCATATCTGACACCAAGAATACACTGGAAGGAATACAAAGTAGTTTGGATGAAGCAGA